CTTATTTTCCCGCCAATCCGTTCCCGCCTTATTTTCCCGCCAATCCCTTCCCGCCTTATTTGCCCGCCAATCCCTTCCCGCCAACCCTTTCCCGCCATACCGCAGTTATTCTTTCCCGCCATTTTCTCCTCTGTATCTATAAAACCCCCTTCAGGCGGAGGTGGATAAGCATTCCAGTGTAGTGTAGTCGAGATGTCCCATTATCCATTCGATCGTAGTTTTCACCCTAAGATGAGCAGCACTCTGCTGAGTCTAGCTACCGATTTCAGGATGGACAATAGGATAGTTCCATGGGACGAACTCACCAGTAGTGACACCATAATGAATGAGTTGGCTCACCAACTACGTAGGTCTGGGTGGCCTGAAAGGACCTATGAGGAGGTACGTCAAGAACTTCTTAGGTTGCATGAAAGGTGGAAGAAGGTGGTGGAGCCGAAGAGTGAAACTTTCAGAAGGACTGCAGAAAAGCATCCATTTTTATGGACTGAGGAGAGCGAGGACGACGATGATATCTTCATGTCGCCGCTTCCGGGTTCTGCATCCGCAAAGGGCAAGGGTTCTGTATCGACCAAGGGCAAGAGTTCTGCATCGACGAAAGGCAAGAAGAGTGCATCGTCGAAGGGCAAGAGGGCTGCATCAACGGAGGATGACGATGATGACTTCATGTAGTATGTAAGATGTATTCCAGTTGTACCGTTTCATTCAGATGTATTTGCATTATTAGTTTGTCTTGTATTATTGTAGGGCATTATGTTCTATCTGAATTTCATTTTGTAGTATGTAAGATGTATTGCACAAGTTCAGCCGCACCGTTTAATTCAGATGTACTTGTATCTTAATTATCGGTTGTAGTCTATTTGGAAGTGTAACTGAAATAAGAATGCGAATTAATAGTAATATGTGTCTCGCATACATAAAACAATATATGTCTCCTGATCACATAGAAGCAAGTGCGATAGTAACACATACATGAAGCATGTCTCATACATAAATACTGACACACAGCTGCGAATAGTCTGAAACTAACATAGATAATGAGTCATACATAGATAGATAAGCATATCACTGCGGGGGACGACGACGAGTCTGGGTCTTCCTCGGGCGAGGACCCGAAGGCGATAAGCGCTGAGGCGGTGGACGAGGCTCGCGGTAACCACGACCATAGTTAACCTCGTCTGTCACGGTCTGTGTCTCCTGCGTCGGTGGTGGTGGTGGAGTGTGAAACACTGTCTGCGAGAAGCCATAAATGTTTGTAGCTTGGTCATCATCCTCGCGGTCGCCCTCAAAGTACGAAGCACCACCACTAAGGATCGGTGACTGCTCTGAATGCATGAACGGTTGCGACTGGTTGCCGCCTGCGGTAAAGTAAAATTGATACAAATGCATGAACGAAGCACCACCAGTAAGCATCAGTGACTGCTGAGAATGCAAGAACGATTACTACACTGTTCAAAAGAATGTAGTGAGTAGTGTTACCTAGATTCATCTGCTGATGCCAGTAAGCGCTCCCTAGCTGTGAAGGAGGTGGCTCATGCCAGGAAGAGCTCCCTGGCTGTGAAGGAGGTGGCTCATGCCAGGAAGAGCTCCCTGGCTGTGAAGGAGGTGGCTCATGGCAGGAAGATCTCCCTGGCTGTGAAGGAGGTGGCTCATGCCAGGAAGATCTCCCTGGCTGTGAAGGATGAGGTTCTGCACGATGCACAGAGGGTCGTGGTTCTGAACGGTGCACAGAGGGTCGTGGTTCTGAATGTTGTACAGAGGGACGTGGCGGACGATGTGCTGGAGGAGGAAGTGCAACATCCGAAGTCCGTCTACACGTAACAGCTGCGTAAATCCCGCGTAGCTTGTCATCAAGACGCCTCAACCATGAGACGCCCTCTCGCGGTGGGATAGTTTCTCCCCTCTGAAAGCGCCGCATTAAAGCGGAAACCTCCTCTCGCGCCTGTACTGTCAAGTCACCCTGTACACAAAGAATGAACCAATTATATGCTCGTTGTATGATAGACACCACGAATAGACAACCAAGCGAATATGTCCAGATTAACAAAAGACTTAACATATGAGAACCAAGGCATTTACCGCGTGGTGTCTGGTTCCCACAACAGAGGCAGTTGGGTACATATCGCTGGTGAGAGGGACTTCGATCTGATCAGTAGCAGCTGATGGAACCAAGTAGATCCTCGTTGTATGCCGGTAACGCTGCAGATACAACCCAAACATTTCCCAGTTAAAGGGCCGAACCTCACCCCAGATATTTGTCGCAGCGGTAGTCCATTCGTCAACGTAAGGGGTAATGCTCTCAAGCCAATAAGTCATGGACTTGTTTCCTCCTAGGCGACTGTCCCTGAGATTGACATGCGCGATACATGGTTAGGTATATTATGAATGCAGAGCTGTCAACTAAAATAGTATTAGTACTTACTTGTGCACGTGGTCTGGCAAGTGTGGAATATCTGGAATCGTAGGATCTTGATATAGACCGAACTGTCTCATCACCCTATGAAGAGACATCTCCTCAACCGTCACGTCGAACACCAACTTGGCCTTGGTCATCCAAAAGTGCCGATCTCTAGTGCACAATCCAGAAATCCCAACTGGGTACCTCGATGATATAGCCTGAGGCGAGTATGGCTCCCAAATAACTTGATCCTCGTGCAAACTATCAAACTGCGCCATGAAGGACGGGTAGCATCCCCTAACCTGAGTATGCGCAAACTGTCTCTGTGCATGACAACAAATAAGCATTAGTAATACTATTGAATGGAAAGAAATAATTGAATTAATTGTTACTTAATATAAAAGTACCTCTCGCCGTGTCCAAACAGATCCCATAGTAGGTAAGTCGCCGATAGCAGGCACATAAGTCCCAGCTAAGTCCTCCAAACCAAAAGGTTTATCAATGTAGACATAGGGTCGTCCAATAGGGAACCTCTCATATGACCAAAGCTGCAACAATAATGGACATCCAACAAGACTAGATTTTCTAGACTTCAACAAGCAAGCTTTGCACAGGCCTCTGTACGTAGCCGCCAACACAGCAGAACCAAAACTCCTCTGTAGAATATCCGCAGGGCAACGTGCGTCAGCTATCTCTCGTGCAATACCGATGAGTCGTGCATCGACAGTGGTCACGTGGTTCTCCGTAAACATTTTCTTGCCGAATAGCCAAAGAATATATGCATCTAGGGACCGGTCAATCTGAGCCTCCGACAACTGAACGTCGGGATGTCCTAACGAGACAATCTACATAGAAACGTAATAATTGTATGAACATCAGACAACTAAAAAACAACATTTGTTTAAGTGGCCGTGATGGTTACCTGAAACTGGCTCAACCATCTAAAAAGAGGTCCATGAGGATCGTTGTCTATGGCCCTAGCAGTCGGGACTGCAGCCAAAAAACGGGTCTGCATCGCTGCTTGCCACCCAGATTCTGCCTCTAAGGGACCTATGGCAGCACCGGCCAGAGGTAATCCCAACAAGTAAGACACATCCTGTAAAGTAGGCGCCATCTCTCCCCAAGGAAAGTGAAACGTATGTGTTTCTGGTCTCCATCTATCTACTAAGCAGGTAAGGAGTGACTTGTCGTAAGAGAAACGTCTCACTTGCCTCTTGTGTAACTGCAATGGTTCACCTGCCTCATCTAAGTCCGGACCATCAATCCACTCATCCAATGTACCCTCAACCAGCCGTGCCAAGGGTAGAAGTCCAGCCCAACTTAACCTACAAAATAAAGAGATTGTTAGCGGTTATGAAAAGTATGTCAAACATAGTAAGTCATTATATGGTCTCCATTATATGCACACATACCTATCAACCCATGAATCGTGTATCAGCCAGTTAGTCTTTGGGGTACGAGTGACCAACACGTCTAAGTTGTTGCCCGCTTCCATAAGAGCGCCCCGGTGCTTTCTATCGATGTTACCATTAAGCAACGGATACGAAGACATATCTGCAATTCAAATTATCCGCACAAATTAAAACATAGTCCTGACATATTACAAATTAAAACATAGTCCTGACATATTACATATTAAAACATAGTCCTCACATATTACAAATTAAAACATAGTCCTGACATATTACAAATTAAAACATAGTCCTGACATATTACATATTAAAACATAGTCCTCACATATTACAAATTAAAATATAGTCCTCACATATTACAAATTAAAACCCACTACGGCACATTATATAGCTTGTGAGTTATTTCTTCCTCGTCCGCCCCTTTGGCCTCGACTGCCACGACCACGTCCGCCTCTTGCTCCTGTTGTCGCAGCCGTCGATGTGGAAGCACTCGTCGATGCGGAAGCACCATCTTTGTTCAGGTCGGGACAATATTTCATCCTATGCCCATAAGCCGCGCATAACAAACATTGTCTGGTTGCTCCACCAGCTTCAGACTGGTCCATATCGTTCCGGATGCGACGGGCCTTTCGTCTGCCCCTACTTGTTCGCCGAAGGTCTGGATGCGGGATGTATACTCTCTCACCGTCGTTTACCTTGTTGAAATTGCCGACGACTCTAAACCCTGTCATCTCGCCTGTCCAGGTGTTGAGCACTGCCTCTTTTAAATAGTATGGGGACACAAAGGATATAGCATCCAACTGAATCTGGCCACAGGCAGCCAACACATGAGAGCAAGGTAGGTGCAGCAACTTCGGTTTGTTGCATGTACACTCACACGTTGGATAAAATTCCGTTCCAATTTTAACCTCGTGTGTCTTCACCTCATTTCCAGAACCAAAACCATCGGTAGGAAGCTGAACCTCATACCTCCTTTCTTGATTCCCTATGAGTCTGACACTGTGCTTCTTTGCTTTCTCTATCTTCTTTGCCATGTATTCCATGACACGGCTACAATAAGGTGTGTTCTGATTATCTTCAATATGCTTCTTTGCTAACTCGTGCCTTTCTCTGAAATATCTCAAAGTGCCATGGAATACAGCCTCCACAATAGCTGTGAGTGGCAATGCTCTATTCCCTCTCAGCACAAAGTTATACACCTCTGCAAGATTGGTTGTCATGTGGCCATACCTAGCTCCATGTGTGTCATGCAGCAAAGACCAATTCATTGGAGGCTCTTTCTCTATCCACTCAGAAAAATTCTTTATTGCCCTTCCCTTCTTTCTCTTAGTATTAGGAGGGTCAATTGCTGGCAAGTCACAAAGACCAACTGGCTCCTCTAGCTCCACGATGAGTGCTGCTAATTTAACCTGATCTTCTTCCATTTTCTTCCTTGACGGACCTGCTTCTTAATAAACTCATCTAGTTTTGACCAAATAAATTCGTATTTCCGCTGCTGGCTCTGCTTGCATAATTTTTTGAACAAGTTCATCAACCGCTTGTTCTTGAACTGTGAGAAAAAATTAGCCCCAAGATGGCGCATGCACCACCGGCTCTGCAAGTCCCTCCAAGGTGTTGGTTCGTCATCTGCTGGATTCCGAAGTGTCTTCACGGCCTTCAATATACCAGCATGTCTGTCATGAATGACACACACGTTTGGTCGGTCCTTCACGATGGCAATTTTCACTTGGCGGAAGAACCAAACCCAGCTGAGAAAGTTCTCACCCTCCACAAATGCCATGGTAAGTGGGATGATTTGATTGTTCCCGTCCACACCAATAGCAGTAAGGATTTGCCCTCTATACTGACCGGTCAGGAATGTACCATCCACAAACATAACAGAAGGACAATGCCGGAAAGCTTCGATGCACATAGCAAATGAGAAGAACACTCGTTTCAACACCTTGAAATCTGGTATACTCAGCAACCTCATGTGTTGTACGTTCACATAAGTGCCCGGATTCCTTTCCTTCAGTATGCCCAGGAGACGGACAACATTATCATATGAGTCGAAGAACGTCCCAAACCTTTCCTCCATAGCCTTCTGCTTAGCCCTCCAAGCCTTTCCATAAGCAATGACATAATTCCATCTGACCTTCACTGCTGTCTGGATGTGTTTTGCTTCCATATCTTTCTTCTCTACTATCTCAGTATACATGAGTTGCGCAATGAGACTTGAAGTCAGGTTCGGATGCTTCACCAGCAGGTTCGTCCTCACACAATTATGTGGGACGACAATGGTGACAACCCAGTGGATGTCATACTTCGGCACGTGACCGTGCACCTTCCCAGGACAACCTGTTACAACACATTTCACGGTATAGTTTGTTGGACTTGATATGTGTGTCTTGAAAACCCTCTGCGTAGACATAGCCCACTTTATCACCGCATACTTCAGTTTTTTCTTTGTATCAAACATAGCCCCTATTTGTACTTGGTTCAGATTATACTGCCATGGAGTCTCATGGCCATCGTTCACCGTAAGGCCGGTGGATATGTCCTGCTCCCATGCAGAAGGAATCGGTACCTCAACTTCATCCTCAGAATTTTCAGAATCCAGTTCCTCCACCAATCCATCCTCGTCCTCTTCCTCCATCACCCTATGCATTTCATCCCCTTCCTCATCCCCATCAGCAAAACCAGAAACAGCTAATATTATCGACTGGCTACTCTGCCCAGTATCAGGACCACAAACATTGTGTGGCACGTAGTCTGACTCTTTCTCCGGTTGGCTAGCATCCACATCTTGTGGCTGTGATCCGGATAAAACAATCTCGTTAGCCACTTCACTGCCTTGGCCGGGTTCATACCCCCTGTGGAGTTGTACGGTATTCTCCTCCTTCGGCACAGGTTGCACAAGTGCATATGGGTGGATTCTTCGGTCTCGGCAGCGTCTTAACAGGGACAACCAATGCTGGCTCCTATCTACCGGCATCAACTCCCACTTGACATTTTTACAAGATTTGGTCCACAATGCATGAATACTGACGGAACATACTTCAGGATCCAGACCGAAACTAGTTGTCAACCAGTACTTCAACTGTCTAATGTCCAGTCTGTCCGGGTCAGCTAGTGTCATAACGCCATTTTTAAACTTGCTAAGATCAACCCCCAACTCATTATATCGAACATTACCAGCGCCGTAGTAAACATTCAGATTTACTGATTCAGACATTTTCACCTGTCAGACATTGCCATCTTCTCATTAATCACAACGAACTATGCGCTAAAATGCCTCCAAAAATATATTAACACTAAAATTCATAATATGACTTATATACACTAACTAAACTATATTAATCACAATATACACTAATTTTATCCGCTACACGAACTATGCGTTAAAATGCCTCCAGAAATATATTAACACTAAAATTCACAATATACACTAATATTATCCGCTACACGAACTATGCGCTAAAATGCCTCCAAAAATATAATAACACTAAAATTCATGATATACACTAATATTATCCGCTACACGAACTATGCGCTAAAATGCCTCCTAAATTAAATTAACACTGAAATTCACAACGAACACTAATATTATCCGCTACACGAACTATGCGCTAATATTTACATAATATTTGTGACGACGTGATTATACCTTCGGCCTGTGTGTCCGCTTCTTGCTTCTCTCTTTGACTCAGCGGCACCGGCCACCTCGCGAAGTACTTGCACCACCGGAGAACGACAACGCCGCCCCCGACGACCGGAGGTTCAACTCCGGTCAGCCCCCAACCTGCTCCTCCTCCTCCTCCTCCTCACCACCTCCTCCTCTGCAGCTGCTGCTACTAGTCACCACCACCTACTACCCGTCCTCCTCTCCACCATGGCTCCTCCTCCCCACCATGGCTGCTCCTCTACACATCAAAAACTATCCCATAGCAAAAAATAACACCGTAGGCCGGTGGAGATTGCTATGATCTACCGATTCTGTGGGTTGGATTTGCAAATGAGTGGCAAATGGAGGAGATCGGCGCGGGGGGAGTTCTACAGAGAAGAACTGAGAGAGAGAGAAAGGGAAACGAAGAAGGATCCAACGAAGAACAGCAGCGCAGGGGCGAACGGTGCTTATCCGCACCTTTTCGGCCTACACCTGGCCGAAAAGCTCTTCGGTCGAAGCCTGGCCGAAAAGGCCAGCTTCGGTCACCGGTGGGCCGAAAACGGCCCAGTTCGGCCTCCTGGCACCCGAAGCTACTATTTTCGGCCGCGCCCCCGCCAACAACGTGTTTTCGGCCCAACCGTGGCCGAAAAGCCTACTTCGGCCACACCCTGGCCGAAAACTGCCTTTTCGGCCCACTCCTGGCCGACGGGCTACTAGTTTTGCGTTTTCTTCATTCTACGCTATAGTTTCCGAAATTGCTACAAAAAATAACATAGTTTTGAAAAAAATTCCCATATTTAAGGGTCCCGATAACTGCCACACATGTGGTGTATCGGGTAGTTGTGCCACACGCCTCGTGTGGCATGGACAGCAACCAGCCCACACACCTAAATGTAGGCAAAACAACTAATGCCCACACACATCTTTTTTCCCCTCCCGAACCCTCTCACACGCGTGCGCGTGGGCGAAGTTGATAACGCCCACACGCCCGTATGTCAGACCTCGTACCCTCCTGGTCCCGCACGCGACGCGTGACGCCCACCGCGCGCCCGCAGTTGCCATGGTCCAGACCCTCGTCCATGTTCGTTTAACTGCAGTTGCCATGTCGCTGAACTACGGTTGCCATGTCGGACAACTGCAGTTGCCATGTATGGTCTGATCTAATGTAGTTGCCATGATTTCATAACTTTAGGAGTTGCCACATACTAACACTAGGCAGTTGAGAGAGTTGCCATGTGCTCACAAGCATGCTAGGGCAGTTGCCATGTAAAAGGAAAGAGTTGTCATCTGCTTACGTGCACGTTACGGCAGTTGCCATGTACCATGCAAAAACACATGGCAACTTGGTAAAAGAGAGTTGCCATCTGCTTACGTGCACACTAGGCAGTTGCCGTGTACCCTGCAAAAACACATGGCAACTCGGGTAAAAAAAGAGAATTGCCACCTGCTTATAAAGCACACTAGGGGCAGTTGCCATGTGCGCTGCAAAAACACATGGCAACTAGCAGCTTGGGTGTGGGAGAGGGGACGGGCGTGTGGGCGAGATGGCAAATGCCCACGCACCAGTCCTTGTGCGTGACTGAAAACTGGTGTGTGGGTGAACTGCTAAACGCCCACACACCGGCCCCTCCGTGTGGTAAAATGGATGTGTGGGCGAACTATGTCACACACCACACACACACCTTGTCCTACGTGGCATAGAAAATCAGCCAGATTGTGCCAAGATTCGTGCATATAGTACTGGACGGTGATGGATGCGTGTGGTCGAGATGATCAACGCCCACACGTGTGGGCGTTAACATTTTTGATATTTAACTGTGGTGGATAACAAGTTGAGGAGTAAAGGTACTTGAACTAAACAAATGGACACAAGGAGGAGTTATCCAATCCACACTACCCTAATCCAAAGAAATCTAGACCATACCCGACATCTGATTCTCATGAAGGCACTGGAGCCATGCCGACCCAGCAAACACTAAGCCGCTCCAAAATTTACCGAGCAGCGGGTGGCTTCTCCACCCTCTGGATCCCCATGATACTTTGCACGAACAGGAGCACCTTGAAACAGCGGGGGACGGCCGGGTCAAAGCACAGGCGGGCGGTGCTGAGGTTCGTCACGCGTCAGCTTCTTGGGGGGCACGGGCAGCACGGCCCAGATCTCCTCCGTCGCGGGGTTGCACACGACGTAGTCTGCCTCCTTGCTCATGGCCGCCTTCAAGCAGTAGCAGATGAGACCTCCCGGCCTAAAATGCTGTTAAAGCACGTGTTCTTTGGCTCAATTTTTTTTCTCTCCTTTGCTTTTAATTACTTCAGCCAAAATGTGGGCCACATAATTTCGGCGGAAAAAAAAAATGGTGTCGCCACAAAGATTATGTTAAAAATATGGAAGATGATTGGGATCACCTGAAGGATAATGATGCACGCGTCTGCCGCCTCCATGGCCATTGGATCTGATTTTAACCAGATGGCTAGGAGCAACGTATTATCTAAACTAGGTTTTGCAATTGAGTCATTGTTATGATCTCCCCGATCAAAACAACTGGTGTGTTGCGTGATCTGGATCGGGATGGGAAGCTCCACCGCCGCCATTCCCCTGCATCTAGATCGGCGAGCACCGCCTGACGTCGGTAACTAAGATCTGCAAGGCCCGGTCATCGTTCCAGCGGTGCGTGGCGCAGCGCACGGCCTCTCCAACGCCACCGTCGGTGTCGGGGAGCCCTCCCTGCTGGATCCGTCCCAGCCTTGCGCGTCATGTTTCCGAAACAAAGATCTTGTTGCGATAGTGAACGGTTTTTTTTTCTGAAATAAAGCTCTTGTTGCAAAGAAGGATCATACGCACATATGCCTTGCAACATCACCAATGTTTCTGGAACAGATCTATTGTTGCAATAATCATCGATGTGTTTCTAAAACAGAGCTCTTATTGCAATAGTCATTGTTGTTTCTGAAACAAGACTCTTGTTGCAAAGAGGAATCCTAAGCTGAGCAACCTAGATCGGACGGCTAGCGAGGCGGCGGATATTTTAAAAAGATCCGCCCGCCGACGGGTAGCACGCCCCATCTTAGTTCGCGTAGAGTAGCATTCTTCATATATTGTCTGCTTCATGCACACCATGTAGTAAAGCTGAAATTATCACGGCCCACCATGTAGTAAAGCTGAAATTATCATGGCCAGCTTTATTAATTTAAACAAGGGTTTAGCCCTAATATTGTTGTTGATGACAAAGTGGAGACCTGTATAATCTTGGACATTATGACGAAATCTCTATCTGATGAGTAGCTGAGGCTCCCTTCCATGATTGGGTTGGATAGGGTTGACTGTCTTAAACATCTTACTGAAAGAATTCAGAAAATCATCAAAGAATTCAGAAAATCAAAATTTCATCAAAGAATACCGAAAATCATCAACGGATGGAAGGGGAAAATGTTATCTTATGGTGGTAAGGAGGCTCTGATAATGACGGTGGCTCGAGCTATCCCAACATATCCGATGAGTGTGTTCATATTCCCCAAAAATTGTAAGGGGATCACTAATGCAATATCGCATTAGAGAAGACAAACGCAAGATGCAAGATGCATTAGAGACTGATTGATAACTATGATTCACTATGTGATAGAGTGACGCGGTTCAAATATTATCTAGAGGGTGACTTGCTTAATTGTCAACTTAAAAAAAAGCTTCTCCTATGCTTGGCAAAGTATTTGGGCTAGAGTTCAAACTTCCCCAAAAGTTTGTATCTGGTGGGTTGGAAACGACTAAAAGTAAACATATGGGGGGATTGTTAAATGCCGAATAGTTCAAACAGGAAGATTGTTATAAACCGGGGAGATTGCACATTTACCAGAGTTAGCGAGCTTATTGATCTTGTTTCTGGTCATTGGGACGAAATGCTGATTAGGGACAATTTCTGGCATCTTGATGCAGAGCGCATTCTGCATATTCCTGTATACCAACAACATACCAAAGATTTCTTTGCTTGGCACCTGACAAAGTCTGATATTTTTAGTGTTCGGTCAGCTTATTACAAGTGGTGGGGGGAAATCTATACATGTAACTATACTAGTCCATCAGGAATTTGAGGGACAATACCTCATTTGGTTTGAAAGAAGCTCTGGAATTTGAAAGTTCCGGATAGTGTTCTTTTGGTGATGCATACATAATGAAATCACATGTTAGTATGTTCGACGCATCGCTACTTCAGGACAACGGCCAATCTGTAAAACTCATGTAGAAGATGTGGCCCACACATCTTCAAGTGTGTTCAGGCTGCATGACTAATGTCTACTACGCAACCTTATTCTTATAGACTCGTGTTGGGCCTCAATGGAGTCACCACTAAACTCTCATCGAGGAGCTACTTCAGGACAACGGCCAATCTGTAAAACTCATGTAGAAGATGTTGTTGACACCAGATTTTGGCACGGTCAATAACTTATTTAAGATGGCCTCAAATGGAGAAGTGATCTTCATGAAAGAGTTCTGTATTGTCGATATGAACATCTTTGAAGTTTGGGTCATCACAGTCCGATTTCATCTCGAAGGCCGAAACTATGCTCAAAGTACTAAG